CATCATTCTCAAAACATTTGCCTTCTACTTGAGCCCTTGGTATCAGCTCATTTTTACCCCTCCTTCCCTGCCCACTTTATAGTTATTTTCTCTACTTTTAATCACAAATAAAATTCTATTTTTAATATGTCACATCTCAGATCTTATTAAAATACCACTAACAAAGAGAGAGAGAGAGCAGTTCTAGGCATCACATTAGGTTAAATGTTTGATTAGTGTGGCTCAAGAATGTTATAAAGATCCAAATGACCCTGTCAGAAAAAAGTCTCCCTACCATAACAATTGAAATGTTTAAAAAGAGCAGTGCAGCACTGGAAGCACTCACTCGTCTATGCCAAGACATCTGGAAGACAGCTATCTGGCCAAGTGACTCAGAGACGCATATGTGTGCCCATTCTAAAGAAAACTGACCCAACTGAATGCACAAATCATAGAACAATATCATTGACGTACCACACGCAAGTTCAATTTTGCTGAAGATTTCCCAGCCATGGTTGCAGCAGTACATTGATAGGGAGCTGCCAAAAATTCAGGCTGGCTTTTCAGAGGATGTGGAACCAGGGATATCATTGTTGGGGCAGATGGATCTTGGCTGAGAGCAGAGAATACCAGAAAGATGTTCATTTGTGTTTTGTTGACTACGTAAAGGCTTTGGACTGTGTGAACCATAACAGACTAGGCTTGGGAATTCCAGAACTCTTCTTTGTGTTCCCGAACCTGTACATGAATCAAGAGGCAGCCATTTGACCAGAAAAGGGAACACTGTATTGCAAAGCAAGGAAAGGGTGCGTCAGGATTCTTGCCCTCTCACCGTAGTTAATCATTTGCTGAGCAAATCAGCAGAGGTTGGGTTCTGTGAAGACGAATGCGGCATCGGGTTTGGAGGGAGGCTTATGAACAATCTGCAATGTGCAGAAGACGCAGCCTTGCTTGCTGGAAGTGAGGAGGATTTGAAGCACTTGTCGATGAAGATCAAGGACTAAAGTTTTCAGTATGGATCACAACTCAATGCATACAAACACTGACCACTAGACCAGTGGGTGACATCATGATAAACAGAGAGAAGGTTGAAGTGGCCAAGGATTTTGTCTTGCTTGGATCCACAATCAATGCCCATGGAAGCAGCAGTCAGGAGATCAGATGATGCGTTGTATTGAGTATATCTGCCGCCTAAGATCTTTAAAGTGTTGAAAAGCAAGGAGGTGACTTTGAGGATTAAGGTGCACCTGACCTATGCATTGCCCATCACGTCACGGACATGTGCAAGATGGACATTGAAGTAGAAGATTTAATGTGTCTGCATGATGGTGCTGGAGAATATGGAGAGTACCATAGAACAAACAAAATTGTCTGGGGCCAGGTGCGGCCAGAATGTCCCTGAGAAGCAATGGTGGTGAGCTTCATCTCACATACCGTGGACATGTTCTCAGGAGAGACCGGTCGCTGGAGGACATCCTGCTGGCTGAAGTAGCGGGGCAGCAAAAAGGAGGAAGACCCTCAGCAAGATGGATCAACACAGCGGGTGCCACATGGGCTCAAACATCATTATCGTTGTGAGGATGGCGTGGGCTGGACTGTGTTTCCTTCTGCTGGACACCGGCTCACGTGCGTCAGAGCCGAGTACACAGCACCCGACAATCCCTGCTGTACATCTTCACCGAAGCAGATGCCTAGTCTTTTACCCACGGAGTGGCTCGTGGGTTTGAACACGGCCCACTGTTTGCCTGGCAGCATCATTCGCGCTCCAATGAGCCTTGGCTTCGTAGTGGATTACCCATTGGGCTGATGACTGCGAGGTCAGCAGATAGATCCACCAGTTGCTTTGAGGGAGATGAGGCGTTGTGCACCCAGAGAGTCATGCCCTTGGAAACCCACAGCGACCGTTGTACTTTGTCCTTTAGGGTCTCTGAGTCAGAATTGACTGGATGGCACGGAGGTTTTGGGTTCTGATTCTGTGGTGTGGTGGATTACACAAGGTCGGCAGTTTGAACCTACCAGCCACCGCGCACGAGGAAGATGAGGCTGTGTGCTCCTGCGGCGATCTAGTCTGAGAAACCCACAGGGGTAGTTCTACTCTGTCCTTTGGCCACTCTGAGTTGGAGTCCACTTGATGGCAGTGGGAGGTCTGCTTCGGACACATCTTTGGCCATCTCTGACACAGTGGCCTGTTGCTGGGTGAATCTCGCTGCCAGCTTCTCTCCCGATAGACCGGCCATGTCTCAGTCATTTTTGTTAGACCCCACGACATTTGCTTGGCGAGAGCAGTTGGCCCCAAGGATGGAGCACTAGTGGTGTAGTGGTTACGTGTTGGGCTGATTCTTGCGGTGGGCAGTTCAAAGCCACCAGCAGCTCGAGGGAAAGGCTGGGCTTTAAACAGTTACTGTCCCGGAACCCCCCGGGGGTTGCTAGGCGTCAGCACTGACTCCAGGGAGTTGGGTTTTCAAGTTGACCCCCTTCCCGGTCACTCCGTGTGTTCAGAGTAGAACTGCTGCCGGGGTGGCGAGGCTGGCCCCTCTTGGGAGCAGGTCTCCAGGCCTTTCTGCGCAGCACCACGGGGTTGAGTTTGGCCATTGCTCTAGGGCTTGACTGCGGACATCTCTAGCAGGTAGCCAAAACCCCAACTCTTGACTCGTCGCTTCCGAGAGGGCTTCCGTGGCTGCCAATCTTTAGGGGAGCCGAGAGCCTCATCTTTTCCTCCCATGGAGTGACTGGTGGGTGTGAGGCGGTGCGGCTGTTCTGCAAAATGGTGTGAACTGGAGAGAAGGTGCCTTCAAGCCTCACAGCGTCTCCCATGAGTGACTGCCTGGCGGCTGTGCCGGCTGGCTTATTTCAGGATCACCTCCAGCAGCAGCACCAGGTTTACGGCTAGCAGCTCCCGGCACCTCAGCCAAGCACCGGACACAGGAGAATGAGAAAAGCAAGCTGGAAGTGGCCTGCCTTTCGGGAAGATCCCAGCCGAACCCATGCACTGGGGCTTCTGAAAGCAGCTTGGATGGAGGGACCGTTCTGCAGGCACTGAGGGCATTTTAGGAGCCCTGGTGGTATAGTGGCTATGAGGTGGGCTGCAGGGTCAGCAGTCCGAAACCACGAGCTCTTCCTCGGGAGAAAGATGGGCTTTCTACTCCTATCAAGAGTGACAGTCTCAGAAAGTCACGGGGGCAGTGCTACCCTGTCCTGTAGGGTCGGTAGTGAGTTAGCCTTGAGTCCACGCAGGGAGTTTGGCTTTGTCTCATTTTGGTGGGGGTGTAAGTTGGCAAAGCGCTCACCCGCTTGTTTATGTGGACAGCGGAGTGCTAGGTGTGTATGTTTTACTTCCCTGCTGTGGGAGGGGCTGGCCCCTCTTCCAGAAAGGCTCTGCTTGGACCTTCTCACCAGCATTTATTTGGCTTCCCTACCACCTGGGGCTCCGCCCCCGGCCCCACGCTGTCCTCAGCCTGAGGCTGGGTGGGAGTGTGGTACCGCCTGGCTCCCTAGTCCCCACTCCCAGCCCCAGGTTTCTCCTCCGTGGCAGAGGGTGAGAGCAGAATGACTTTCCGGTTTTGGGGGCAGTGTTTCAGCAGCTATGTGTTGTTTTTGGAAATCAAATCTCCCTGTAGTTAGTTATAGCAAAACCACTTTTTATTTTTCTGCCAGCGCACCCAGATGACAAGCTAACCATGTCTGTACAAGGCCAAAACTCTGGGCTCCTTTGCTCTGAGCTTCTAGCGTGCTGTCGGGCTGCCCTCTGAGGTGGCCCTGGCGTGGCTGGGGTGCTGGAAGGGCCGCCTTATGAGCAGGGCCTGGGGCGCAGCACTCTGCTGGGAGTCAGAAGCCAGTCAACGGCATGCAGCCACCGCAGCACAGTTGTGTGGTCGGAGCTGTGCAACGACTGTGCATCGCGTGGTTGTCTGTGCTACAAGTTCATGCTTTCGTTCTCTCTGCTGTGGGTGGGGCTACAGCAGCTGATTTGATCCAGTGATCTGGTGATCATTGCCATCTGCGGACCATGGAAAATTAAGTGGTAATTAAAGTAAGGTGACCAGATTTAAAGCAGGACACCACTGACCAGGGGTGGGCGGGGTGTGGTTTCTTGATGAAAAATTTGGTCTATATGGACCAAATAGACCGTTGCCTAGCTTGTCATGCATTCTTTCCAAAAATCGGGACTTTTTTAAAACGCCAAAAGCGGGACGTCTGGTCACCTTAAAGGAACGGGGAAAATTCAAAGGGCTTCCCTCAGTTCTGGATGTTGTCAACGTAGAAAGATTCTCAGGAGTTTGTTGCGAGTTGCAGTGCATGGTTTAACGTGGCTCTTCTGCCAAAGTCCCTCCTGCCACCAAACGGCCTTCCCTGCAGAGGTGTGATCAGGGAAGATAGGCTGAAGGCTTCCCCTGTGAGTAATTTGGAACAGGAGTCCCTGGGAGCGCATCCTCTGGAACCCAGATCCCTGCACAGTGAGCCTCCCGTCTCCGAGCGCCAGCTATACACACCAGAGCACGGAACAGAGGGATGGGCTTCCCAGCCCACGGAGCAAGCCGTGCGCTTTGTGCCGGAGGTGGCTTGTGGAGTGGGGTGCCTCTGGGCGCCCAGTCAGACCCACAGAAGCGAGGTGGGTGCATGCAGGGCAGGGCTTCCTGGCGCGGGGGCTCTGGGTACTTAGTCATTCAGGAGGCTGGGCTCACTGACCCACAGAACTGGAGCTCCGTGTGGGCGCGCTGCCTGGCACGTCGCTCACCACCAGGGCGGCCGTTCAAACTGACGAAGCTGCCTGCCCCAGTAAACCCTCACAGCCTGGCAGACTGTCTGGGGTTGCTTTGGGTTGGAAGAGACTCAGTGTCGGTGGGCAGGGTGTTTCTGGCCTGGCTTCCCAGTAATCCCTAGCGAGATGACTGACTGCCCACAGGGTTCCAGCTTCAAGAAACGCAGACGACCTTTACCCTTCCAAAGCCACGGACGAGCAACGGGAGAATCCCAATAAATGCACGTACATGCTCAAGGGAAAAAAGAGAGAGACAATTCAAGGCTTTTGAAAAAAGCATCATTTATTTCAAAGTACAACGCAAAGTTGTATTTTTAAGAAACACACATTCAATCTCGTCTCTCAAGACTTGGCTATGCGCATTTCGGTTCATCTTTAAAACAAAGTCAGGTATACAAATGTTACATACCTCAAGTACAAACAGCACAGAACACGCAGATGTCTCGCCGGACATGTTTACATTCACTCCCTGCTCTGCAAGCGGACTTACGCTGCTGGCATCTGCTTTTAAACCAAGACAGCCTTACTTTAAAAAAATACTCTGGAATTGTCAGCACAAAGTCCTTACACATTTTTAAAATTAGATCTTGGTGCATAATATTGCAAAATCATTAAAAACCAAACTTGGTAATTGAATAAAATTGTCACATGCCAGGACTTCTGAATTAACTCAAATTCTTTCCTCAGCTGTAATGTCCAATTGGTGTCTACAGAGATAAAGAACGGGTGTGTGTGTGTGTGTGTGTGTGTGTGTGTGTGTGTGTGTGTGAGACTTGCGTCAAGTGTACGTGTCTTGTTAAAGAGGTGGTGGCTACGTCCAGACTTCTCTCTGGAAACACAACAGCAAATCTTGTATGACCACAACTGCGAGACAGATCTGAAAGAAGCGCGTGTACAGCTTGCCCTGCTGAGTGTGTGCGGCAAAGATGGAGGGCGGGAGGGGGGAGTGGGAAGCTGCGGCAGTAAGAGCCTTAAACAGTTGTCTCAGAAACTGGCGTGTCATGATCTAGATGACCTCCCCCCCACCCCCATGTTATCCTGTTTGCTAATTTCAGTTCTCATGGGGAAAGTGTGAATTCGACCAGGGGTCGGAGCTCCGCCGCCCGATGGTGGGGCTCCATATCCGCCACGGGTTGTAGGTCTGTCCCAGGTCGTCAGCCGGGTTTGAGGTGGCAGGAGCCGGAGGGGCAGGAGGGCTCTCTGTGCCCATGAGGCCAATGCTGGAGAGCGTGCTTGCTGGAGTGGTGAAGGGGAGGGCGCTGCCGAGGCTGCTGGACCAGATGGAGCTGCTGAACGGGGTGGACGACCACAGCCCGCTGGTGCCGCCGAGGATCGACTGCGACAGACAGAGCACAGAGGGGTTGGGATCCAGAGGGGGGCAGCTGGTGTGGACAGTGCAGCTCTGCTAACACAGGGGGGCCGTCCTTCCTTTCTGCTCATCGACTTTCAAAGAGCCGCGCACACAGAGCATGCCAGCAGATGGCACCTGGGATGCCCGAGGCAAACGGAGGGCAGATCCGGTGCAGGCCATGTCATGCTTCCCTCCCGCCTGCGGCTGCTCTGATGCAGGCTGCAGACATGGCCAAGCCTCCTCAGGGCCAGAGGGCAGTGGGGCCTTTCAGTGTCGGAGGCGGAGGGTTACGAGGGAGATCAAACACGGAAACCAAAGGATGCCCTTAAGCTACCTACTGTGACACCTTGGCTGTCTACTTTAGAAATGATGGTGCTCTTGTTTTTGACCCTACAGTTATCTTTATGCTGAAACCACGCATCATCTCCCTGGGTAAGAGTAATTTTGCAGAGTCTGGCCCTGGCAGACACACCAACACAGTTCTGGCTGCGGGAAGTGTAAGTCCCTCACTTGCTCATGGGGGACCAGAGGGTCTCCACTGGCCCGGCTGAGGCGGCCATGCCCGCACCCCTGCTCTCGCTGAAGTCCCCGGTCAGCGCCCTGCTGACCCTGGCCGGGACTAGGGAGCTCAGACCTGCCATGGCT